GACCACAGAATTCTGAATCCACATTGTGAGACTAAACTTTGTAATTGAATATACACTGAACAATTCTATCCAGACTTCTTCACAGTTCAAATTTGAAGTTCAATATTGTGGTGCTAGCCCATCTTGAATCATCTGTCCATCAACAAATTCAAGGTCAAGAGGGCCCAAAACGACCTATCACTTCCTTTTCTGTTGTGAATGCTTGTAAATGGCTCTTATTTTTAGTATCTGACATTGTAGATGGGAACTGGAGTGAGTGGAGAGATGGAGGTCCTTGCAGAAAAAGAGCAAACCAGGTAACAGTGTTGTTCCAGCCCTGAATCAGGACACAATGGTATAAAGCTGCCACAGAGTCCCGTACAGCTGCTAGATGAGCAGTGTCTGAGTCAAGATCAGTACTGCGGTATTCCCCTTGTGTACTTTTTTATTAGGCACAATTCTTTGGACAGAAGTAATTTTAGCAAATCTAGGAGGATTTGGGAACTTTTCCCCTTCCCTGCTCCTTCGCTTAAGGCTGTAGTTCGTCTGAAAACTGAAAATGCCATTTGAAAAAACAAAATTGTAAGCCTCTGTGACAGGTCAGTAATCTGTCCTTAAGGAAATGGCAGTGAGTGAGAGGGGCAAGTCTGTCATTTGGGCTGGGAATGGGGAGAGGACTGTGAAGTCTCATCGACTGCTTGTTAATGGCAACATACTGAACTGTCAGGCAGGCTCATTAGGGACATGCTGTTAATTTGGTCAGGCAAGCGCTGCCAGGCTGCATTGTGTAGAGTCAAGCAGTGTGAATAGAGCCCGTAAGCAAAGCTGCTGGAATCTGCTTTTGTGTTCCCTTTGGACGGCTGTCCTCAGCTTTTGGCTGCTTTTCCAGTTCAAAGTGGCCACGTGGAGTTTTGGCACTGTTAGTGCTGCCCAAAGATTAGTTATAGATCACAGAAGTCATCTAACTTGTGCTGAGATGAGATACCCCGCTTCTCCTCTCAGCTATTTTCACAATCTTACATTTAGCCAGAGTGTCAATTCACTACTTCTGGTAATTTAATTATCTTTAAAACCTAATTTGAAATGCTATAGGTATTTTTGTTTTCCTTATCTTCACTGCTCAGATCTGCTAGGCACTAGCTATATGTCAATTAAAGTCTGCATTTCTTTTCTACTCTCAAAAGATAACCTTTCTCCCCTCCATTTCCCACAACTCACAGAGTCTTGCAGGTAGTTTTGAAGGTACGAGAGTACGTACCTTAAAAATCCTCTGCAGACCCTAGAAGAGCTGGGTAGGAAGCTGTGATGTTATGGACTGACCCTTTTGGGCAGAGAAGAGGGAGACCAGTGGTGGGGAAAACCTGCCACGTGCAACCAGTGAGTGTCTTCACTCCTTCTGGGATGGAATGGAGTGATTCCTCGTGTGATGATTGTAAAAGGTTGAGCAAGAGTAAGAGGTTGCTTCCATCTCATAAATGGAACAATCAGATTGTCTCAGTGCTGTCTCTCCCCAGTATGTGTCAGAATATACTGTTAATTTTGGAGTTGGAACCCAACAGAGGATTTTCTGATTTTCTACCATGTGTTTGCCTTTATGACTGTAGTTCCTCTCTCATCCTTTGGGGATGCTTTTCCCTGACATCTTCAGTCTTATTAAAACTTATTTTTGTTTCTGCCTAGTTTCCTACCAGAGAAAAGGCTGAAATTAATAATTTTCTGGTAACCATTTTCTACATTTTCACCTGATTTATGTGATTATTTTAAGGCTGGGTCAAATACTCCATTGAGAGTTTCAGGTGCTGTCAGAACCACGGCAGAAAAAGGTTTCCCAGGAGATGGACTGTGTGTAACAGACTTAGCTGGGAATTGGCCTGCACATTTACCTTGCAGGGAGCTGCACAGCTCCAGCACTTCTGTCACTAAATACCTGGGGAAATCATTAGTTGTGAAAAGATGGCATTCTCCACCTGCTGCGTCAGGCTCTGTCATCACGCTGGGAGGCTGCCCCCCTCCCCAGAAACAAGAATTCATGCCTCTGCCTATTCAGATAGAGGAATATCTATTTAATGCAGTGCCCCATTTAGGGAAGTAAAGTAATGTTTTTCCATGGGCGGAAAAACCCTTGCTGTGTGGGAGGGAATACTTTTTACAAACAAGCACTGAATTTCCTCATTTTCCTTTACCAGGGATTTCTATTAGAATAAGGCTAGAGGGAGGGAAATTTAGAATGATTCTGGGAAGCTTTGACTCAGGAAGGGGCAGATGATTCACAGATTTTTATTATCTTTATGAAGGAGAACAGACCATTGAACCTAATATTTTACTTATCTTTCTCTTTGAAAACATGAAGTACTTACACAGTGACCCCAAAAGAGTTTGTGGGTTTGAACCAAGGTCTTTCGGCATAAAAGTTTAAATCCCAGCTGTGGGAGCTGGCCTACAACCATTTTAAGGTAGATTTGTTGCTATTACCGTCATACTTGATAAGTATTTTGATAGTGAATTCTCAGTGCATCCCTTCTCTGTTTGTGAAGTGGGGTGGTAAATAATGGGGATGCGTTCATGGGAAATGGGGGCAACAGAGACGCTTTACAGAACTGTGATCTGGCAAGTCTCGAGACCTGCCACTTTGTGCTGTGACAATGGTCAATTTATCTCTGGTTATTGCTGGAGTCCTGATGTAAGAGGTCATTCATTCGAGAGCCGTTCTTCTGTTTTGATGGGGTAAATTGATAACTAAGAGCAGTTTGTTTAGTAGCATCATTTTTCTTCTGCTTCATTTGGAAATGGACACTTCTCCAAAAATAACTTTGCTGTTGATAATCAAAATATAAGACCAGTCACAAGGTGCACATTAGACAGAAGGTTTTAAGCTCTGGTTAACATAATTTTAAGAACTATGAGGTGATTTACATTTATTTTTGTATTCTCCTACTATGAAAAAAAGATTAGTACAACTTAAATTGTATTTTAATTAAAATCTGGCATGAGAACTTAAATGAAGGAAAAATTAAAACTTGATGCAGTTTGTGTCACAACTGTAATTTCATTATTGTACTTTAGAAGTTAATGTAACTTAGTCTTTTAGCTAGTGCCTTAGGTCAGTTCTTTAAAGAATGAAGCGAACTAGACTCTGTCCAGTTTATGAAAATGGAAAGGCACTTGACTGTGGCCACATGGTCTTACCTTTTCCACTCATACAAACATCTTCATTACCCTCCTGAAAAATCCTGTTAGCAAAGTAGTCTCATCCATATCTAAGCTACTGGCTTGAATTTTGCTCTTGTTGTCGTCTGTTAAGATAGAGAGCAGCTTAATCTCAGCAGATACAGAGAATGCATGCAAAGGCTCTTCTAGCAAGAAAAACTATATAGAAAGAACAAATGTTCATTGTTACAGCAAGTGTAGAAACTAGAACTTTGATCTGTATTTTACTGCACTGGGGAAGGCAGAAGTGCTCAGCTTCTAGAGCTGCGACACAAACACTTCTGCCACCTATCCTAGAAGGATTTCCTTATAGGCTCAAGAAAACTGATTGATGTCAGTAGCTGTAATAAACACATTGTGCAAAGTTAGGAAGTCTCCAAGGCTTTGGATAATCAACAAAAATCTTAATTAAGTTCAACCTCTGATAAGAATTTATCAGTAATTAAAGGCATTTATTTGACATGTAAGCAGTCCCCTATGGTTACCAAAAATAATTTCTTTGTTCATACTTATTAATGCAGTTGAAACTTTTTTTTTGCTTAAATGTTTAATGTTAGCCACATGGCAGTGGAAGAGGTATGATAAAGCATCAGAAATCCATTAGTAATCTCTTAGTAAAGCTGCAAAGTAAACTCTTCGAACTTTACTGTACTCAGTTTATGCATGGAGTGAACTTGTCTATGTCCTGTCGGAGAATCTGGATAACTGTTTTGATAGAAATAAGATATGCTCTGTTGGGGTTGTTAGTACCTTTCAAAACTGAACTCAAAAAGTGAGCCATGCAGTCAAATGCTGGACTGTATGGGTAAAATTACAAGGAGGGGCTGTTTAAGAGCAAACATATGTCAACCATAGGCTTCCTCGTAATGGGCTTGGACTTTGTAGCCCACTTAGGTTGCCAGAATTCAACACGATACACAGTTTGTGGCTTTTGTGTCTTACTACTTAATGCAATGCATGATGAACAAATCATATATGGCAGCAAAATACAGGGATGTGTAGTTACCCTACCAAATGGCCTGTCTCCTGTCCTTGGTTTGACCCCTGGTGTTCTCCTTGGCTATCCTGAGCTCCCTCTCCAAATTAGCAATCTCTGCTTAAAGAAAATGAGCATCAAGATCAATCCCAGCAAGAAAGATCCTCATAATGAGACTAAAGGCTCCATTTCATGGAAAGATTTTGTCAGTCAGCAACATGCTAAAAATCCACAGTCCAGGCAGTACATCCCAGAGATCATTATTAAGGAGTGTGGTTAAAAACTATTTCCCTGGGAGTGATTTTGCTGCTTGGGCAAATCTCTCACAGGTGCAATCTATTAGGAAGGCCAGACTGCTGCTTATAAACAAGCAAGCAAGAATGATCCCAAGAATAGGCAATGATGTGTTGCCTTGCCAGCAGGGAAAGTCCAAGAGAAGACTGCAAATTTTAGTGGAATTAGAATTTTTGGGAAAAAAATCTGTAGGCTATAATGGGATTTTTGAAAGGGACTGTTTATTCTGTACAAAATTGTCCAGTCTACAGAACTGGTAGTCTAAGAAACAAATGGAAATACCCAGAGAAGAACTCAAGCAACCTAACCTGGTTTTTGAATGAATGTTGCCCTCTTTTTGTACAGTATAGGTGGGACTGACAATAGATTCAAGTCATCTGCTATGAAACATTATTTGCTTTGCCATGGGCAATTTCAGATGCAGCAGCCAACACTGATTGTTCAAGTTGAGTGACACCAGCATTTGTGATATGAGATGCAGCCCCCTTTTTCTTCTTTTTCTTTTTTTTTTTTTTTTTTTTTTTTTTTTTTTTTTGAAGATGATGAAAAGAATCAAAATTATAGGGACCTTCCTCACCCGAGAAGCACAGAGCCAGGTAAGTAGATATTTTTGCAAATTCTCTTAACAGAACCCCATATTTTCAGCCTGACAATACAACACTGATATGATCCTCTTCTCTCCTAGGAATGAGAATTCAAGATCCAGCAAGAAGGTAAGCTACGTAGCTAGTTATAACAAATTCCACAACCATTCCAAAAAGATTTTTCCTAGAAAACCTTTCAGTCTGAAATTCAAATATTCTTTGAAGTCAATTCTTTTGCAAAATTTTCTGGTCCGTTTAATTTTTCTGTAATACCTTAAAGTACATGTAGAATGTGGTAACTTACTCTTTTGTTTCCTTGGATAAGGAGCAGTCAGTGGGATTTTTTGCTTTACCCTGCTAGTCTGAGTGATTCATCTTGCCTTCCAAAATGATTACATGTCCATCAATCCAACTGCAAACCCTTTTTGAAAACTCCTTGCCACTGTTATATATGCTGAATAAATCGAAGCCAAACTATCTCAAGTATATGTTTCTGTGACAGAATAAAATGAAGTCTAGAATTATAACTGTCTGTAGCTGGAACTGAGAGCTATTTCAGCATTGAGCAAATAAACCAACCAACCTTCCTATTCCTTACCTCCCTCATTAAAGCCACTAGGAAGTGTGTATAACCAGTATTTGATCTTTTTCTGCAGCATCCAGAGGAGCCTGTGGAAGCAACCACCTGAAACAATCCTCTCCACCTGTAGCTTCATGTGCCTTATCTCCGAATCACCGCGTATGGGCTTTCTTCTGGCACTGAGTCAGTCTGCTTATTGTTAAGTGTTTCCTCATCTGTTTTTGGCTCCATGATGGATTTCTCCTGGACCCTGAAAGTGGTGAATAGTTTTGAAGGAAAATAACCCCACTGAAGCAGAATACAATTTGAAGAACCCTCCACATGTTATTGCTAAGTCCGGGGAGCCTTCCTTCAGGATTAATAGTTCCTAAATTGCTTCGATGGCCAGGGCTAGCCGTGTTCTGGGAGGCACAGCAAGTCTTAGGTGGCCTCCTTAGCTCTGGTTTTGCCTCAGATTGTTTTCACTCCCGTTTCCTCCAAGCTGTCTTTCCTCCTCAGCTGCTCTTCTTCCTCTCTTACTCTCATGGTGTTGCTCTTCTGTGCAAATATACGTAACTTAAATCACGGTTGCTGTGGTTACACTTTCCGCTCTTTCTATTTGAGTATTAAATTTTGCTTTATTTTTAATCAAACCACATCACATTTATTTTTGGGGTCACAGAAGCATATTTGGCATGTTTAAGTTACCACTGTGAGGTTCTTCTCCAAACAGAATTCAAACCATTATGTTACAATCTGTACCAGACCCTTCCTAGCAGCTGTGTTTATACAGCTCCTAGTAAAATGGGCCCCTGATTAAGATTTTGAATAGCGCATTCACTGTAAAAACGGTGTTTTGAACCAGCTAAAGCTATTAAAAAAATTGGGATAATGTATGATTAAAAGTTTTGGTTTGAAGAAATGTCAGTGGCAACACCCTGCCAAATTTTTGGCCCAAAACATCATCACCGATAGTATCACAAAGATAAAGTTACCGGAATTTAACCGGGTAAGAAATGCTTTTCTTTTGCTTGCTTAAAAAAATAGCTAAAAAATTCATGTGACAGAGATTGAAAATTATATGTTCAGAGTAGTCACAGAAATTGGTTGAAGTTTGGTAAATTATATGAAACTGAGGACAGTAAATAGCCATTCTGTTCCTGCTGTGCCAGACAATCTCTGAGGTTGGAGAAGTGAGAGTTGGTATGCCAGCAGCAAAGCCTTCTGGTGTGTAGGGAGCCCTGCAGGCTTCCAAAGTGTTAAGGCTGGGAAGAAAAGGTACCTCATCTGGGCTGTTCCCCACTGTGGAGCTGGCAGCTGCATTTCCGATATTCTGCAAGTTTGGCTGCTTTTTTTTTTGCTGCAGGTACTGGCATTGAACAGAACCAGTAAGCCTACATTAAGGCAGGGAAACACAAGTGCTGCTTCTGCTCCATTAAACTGGAATACATGATTAAAGGACCAAAAGCTACTTCAGCTGACAAACTCCATACTTAAATGTTTTTTAAATTGTAAACTAAGAGCAAAGATTTATAAGTTTGTGTCATGATCCATAAATCTAGATCTCTTCTTGTCCTTTTACTCTAGACAAATGGCTTGTAGAGGAAATTGTAGTGGTTTGGATAAGTCTAGGTTTCAACAGTCAGCCCTCTTAGGTCAGACTTGTAAGAAACATCTGTAATTGTTTGAGGAATTTGGCAGACGATCTTGTACTTAAATCACATTTTCCCCTTTGAAAGTTGGAAATGTCCATGTATAAATTAGACACACAAGCCATATACCTCTGCACTTGTGGAATTAGACAAGGGATCAACTTGCTGTTACCTTGTAAATCCTACTGCAAGGTAAGAGCAAGTTGATACTTTGCTGTAGTAAAAGAGACCAGCTTAAGGTTCTTTAAAACTGTGTACCTTTTTTGTGCCTCAGAATAAAATCTCATGGTTTTAAGGGGAGTTGCCATTAAGTGGCAGGCTACTTCAGTGTTTAGAATTTGCCTTTTGGTTTGGATTTTCTAAGACTGAAATCAAAAGGTTCTTTGAATAAAATTACACAGACCCTCCTTTCCAGGCAGAATTGCTCTTATGTGCATAGTTGTCACATACTGGGCCTCTTGAGTCCATTTAACATACAGTTGTGCGTAGTCTGTCCAGAATCATCTTATCTTGCAATAAGATCATGTGAATTCAAAGTATATTAAATTTAATCCTGGTTTTCAGGATTATACCCTGCAAATTCAAAATTGCAGAGTATAAGCAAGGCATAATGTTCCTGACTGCTCATTATAAAAAATGAGGCCCAGCTCATTGTGAAGTAAGTCTTTGGTTCTGCCACTGAAAGCAGAATTCGGTAAACAGACTTCAGTGGGAAATTCAAGCTGATGTCTGGTGACCTTTGTCAAGCAGAACAAATGTTTGCCACGTTTGCTAGAATTGTGTTAGTGCTGGATGCTTCTGGTACAGCCTGAGCAAATGAAGTTTAAAAGTCTGGCTGGCTATCAGCAAACGTTGCCTTTTGATGGAGTCCACAAATGCTGTAGCATAGACCCTCCAGGCAGGAATTTGAGCCTCTGCTTTATTTGATGCCAGATCCTTTAATAGCTTCAGAAAGTGATTTTGCTTGTATCGGAAAAGCATGATGAAAACAAGCAAAATCCAGAATAATGTGTTAAAATTAATTCCCATATGTCAGATTCCTGCACAGAATGTCCTTTGGTGGACACAGTAGTTGTCTGAACAACCTGAGGAAGAGGCAGTCACACAGATGCTGCATACAGGCTTCATCTCTGTATCTTCCAGCTCAGGAATGACAAAGAACAGCTATTAAATATTTAAGCTTAGCTCAGCTCTTAGTGGATAAAGAGCCAAAACCAGGCAAGAACCCCTCCACCACTGCCACCCCCCCCAAAAAAAGACAAAATTTGCAACTGCTCGTTATATCTAACCTATAAGACCTAAAAGGTGATTCAGAGACTCATCTGTGTTTCTGACCTTGACCACTCACACTGAAATGCTGGTATGTTTACTGTGGAAATGCCCTCGGTAGCTTTGAGCTCGAGGATGTACTGGATTTCTTCCTAGCAGCGTGCAGTGACCAGTCTTGTGTGATGCCAAGCCTTTACATATTCAGCACCCTGCTTTATTTTAAGGACAAGCTTAGTTGGTTGTCAATAGTCCTTCTGAGGCAAGGATTTTTACCATGGGCTGATTGAGTGAGAATCACGCTAGAGGAAATCAAGCTGGGAGAATTGCCTCCCTTGAAGCCATTCCTGGAACAAAAAATGCCACTACTGTCTTCAGTATGTCACTACTGTAGCACCATGAAAAACAGGCTTACTGTTTTCTTGCAACGCTTTCCGCCACCTTCTTTGCCCTTGTTTTCCTTTCTGTCCTCTATACTTTTTCTTTACTGCTCTCACTTCCACATTCAGTGTCCCCCTCTGTTTTCACTTACTCCTTTACACACTTAATCTGAGGCAGTCAGTTCTAACTGGGTTTTTTTTTTTGCCTTTACTCCCTGGGAAACATCCATATCTTTTCTGCTCCCTTCCCAGGGCTTTTTCATATGCCAGCACTGGCACGTCTTCAAGCCTCCCTGCTCCTCCAGCCAGGCAAGTAGTTGATGATAACAGACGGGGCGCCGGACTGGCCTCAGCTGAGTATCTCCCCTTTGGGATGTTCTTGGTGGCCACTGCCATGCTGGATGCAGCATGGCCCAGTTTCTCTGTGTGTGCTGGGGGTGGCAGGAAGGGTTGGCATAGACAGCACAAAGCAATCTGGCATCTTCCACAATTGCATTTATTTTCCCTATGAATATAGGCTTCCTTTTCAGGAAGATTACCTGTTTGGAAGACATTTTTCGCATCTTCAGGGGAATACAGTGTAATATTTCTCTCGCAAGCCTGTCTGAACCACTTCAAGAAGTTGCAGTGAGTATGTTGGAACTGATTGGCAGGTGTCAGTCACTGGTTATACATCTTCAATGTTTTTCTTAGGCAGGCTGAATTGCCTGATACAGCTCTCTGGAATGTAGCAGGGGGCAATGCAGCATTTTCATTTAATTGCTTGTGGAGATAGCTGCAGGATTGTGGTGTCAGAAAATATTGCTAAATCTCAGGGGATTTCTTGGCATTTTGTTGCCACAATAAGGTCATAGTTGTCACAGTGGCTTAGTACAGCCACAGAATATATGTACAATTATTTATGTGGCCTGAAAATGTAGTGCAATAATAAAATACTCTACGTATCTGCAACTTGCATTCGAGTCTTCTTATGCTATTTTTGTTCTTTGCTGTATTGTTTAAATTCGTGTTTCTCATATTTGATATTTATAAAGATGTTAAGAAGAGTTGTATGCTGTCAGTCCAGTAACATTTTGCAACCTGTCTTAAATATGATCCTACTTGTGGGTTTGTGTCTCTCAGCTGTCTTTATTACCTAGGCATTTCAGTTTTGGACATCAATATTTATAAGGAATTTGTTCCACAATAGAAGTACCATTGCATTGTTAATACCAAGATGACAAGTGGCCTGAAAATGAGGTGTCGAGCAAACACAGGCAGTTTCCACTTGAGGTTTTTCAACTGTCCCGAAGCCCAGCTGGTCCATGTTGTAGAGCATTTGCAAAGTAAGATTGATGCAGTACAGAACTACTGATGAATTACAGGAAAGCAGTCACTTGAGACAAAAATGAGGTTGCTGTGTCTCCACCCATCCCCTAGCAGGTCAGAAGCTAGCTTTATTTGAGAACATAAAGCTATCTGCTTTTCTGTGTGTCACAGTTGAAATTTTCTTGCTCTCTGTATGCAAAATATTAGCCTCTGGCAGGCGTGGCTTTTTTCAATAGGAATTATCTTAGTTGCACAAGTGTGAAAAATGCTTTCTCTGTATTGTGTTTTTGAAGATCCTTTTCTCACACTGTAATCTTTGTGTCTATTCCTTTTGTCTCCTGCGAGATGTTTCAATTCAAGCGTTATGATTAAGTCAGAAGAGCATTCACCCTGTGAGCAACACGAAGAATGCTCCAATTACCTTCTTACCTGTATCTGTGGGATTAGACCATGAACTCTTCAGCTGAAAACATCTCTGGCAGGTTGCTCATATGCACAGTCATTCTGGCCTGAGCAGAATTGCTTACATAAGTAAAAAAAACCTCAATGTGATCTTGCAATGCTACGTAGCAAACTCATAGGTACATTCATCACAGTAGAGTATTAGTGGAGGAGCTTTCCTTATGCTTCTTTGTGCTTTTACTGTTTCCATGTGTCATGGCCTTGGTGTCTTTCACTTCTGGCTTTGTTTTTAGTAGGAGCGTTGTTTCTCTGTTGTCATACATTTGAGAATTCACTGCTTTTTCTCCCAGAACTTAAACTGGAGAGAGATTTTCAGTATGTCTTGTAGAAGAGATCTGAAATCCAAACTAATCAGACTGATCTGATAAAATAGGTTTTAGACTTAATCTAACACCAACCTGCTGTTCTGTAAAAAGCATATGTTAGTAGTGTCTATTGTGTGTAGCCACAAGACTGGGGTGGGGGGGAAGCCTACATGTAGGATGACTGCTTTCTGCTACTGCAGCAGCAAAGAATTTCCTAAAAACACTGAACGTGAATATCCAAGTCCAGTGTATTAGCCTAAACTTGCTAATAAATGTTTGTGCACAAACCCAGCCTCTCTGAGAAAGGAGCTGAAAGCTGAAAGTCATCTCTGGAAACCTGGAGGATTTTTAAGGTGAACAGGGAGATGAGGAAGAAAAATATGATTTTCAGGCTGTAATGAAAGATGGCTTTGCAGGACGTATGCATGCAAGGAGCCTGAGGGAGGAAGTGGAAGACAGAAAATTCAACATTTTTGAACACTGACAAATCACCTGGCTATGCTTAATGATCTGACAGCATCTTCTCACCAGCTGCATCAACATTAGGGCTATTCATCACTTTTATAGATTCATAGTATTGGGTAATACAACTTTTCTATCAACACATGATTTTTCCTGACTGGTGAACTGAAGAACAGCTTCTTATGGTTACTTCAGCAGGGAAAGTGTACAAACAAGCAGGTTGTATTCCATTTCAGATTGTGATATGTCTCAGAACAACTTTTGCCTGCCACAGCGATTTGAAGCTTGAGGTGTTGATTCCAGAAACTGTTATTTTGCTATGCATCATCAAAGGATTGGTCAGATGTTTCTTCTGATCAAAATATTCGTGTCTTCACCACCCTCTTAATGAGACTTGCCAGTGTCCCCTTTGATGGCATTTAGGAATGGCTGAAAGTAATAAAACATATAAATGGAGAGGTTTTCATAAAGATAGTATTTGCTTTGGGAAGCAGTGGTATCTTTACCATTTATTACCGGGAAGCAGCAATGTCATTACACTTGTTGGGAGACAAGCCCTATACAGCTGCTGGATAGAACTGAGTTTTAGAGAGCTATTTTATAAGAAGCATAATTCATCAAACTGATAGACTTAGCATCCTTAATGCTGCCAAAACTAATGGGTATACTGTAACATCAGCAACCACACTGAGATAAGAAGTTAGTCATCCGGGTTTGGACTTCTTCATATTTAAGATGTTTTTGTGTGAAGGTGTTGGTGATGGTTTTGGTGGTGATGGTACTTACATTGGTCATTCACATGATTTGCCATAGATGATAGCCTTTTGGACCAGAAAGGACTGTGCGGTGTTTATGCTGTAAACTTTAAGAAAATGCTTCATGTATAAAGTGATGAGATTTTGTGGTCGACTAAAGAATGTGTGGAAGGAGGGAGAGCAGGACTGGAAAAGGAGGGGATTCCAGTTGCAAATAACACAAAGGCCAGACACTGCTGTTTGTAGGATGAAGTTTCTGTCGTATTCCTCTAACACAATGATGGTGAGAAGTTCAGAAGTGCATTCTGCTTTGACCATGCTTATGAACTTTCTTTTTTTCAGTAAGTATATTTGCCTATCTGAATTTCCTTAAGGGAGACCTTCTGAGCAGAGTTTAAATCAAACTTTAACATTTGCTGGAATAAAAATGAATGTTGTATAGCTGATCACAAAAACTACAGTTTATGCTTGAGTGCAAGTATCAAAGAGGACTTTGGCATAACTAACACAGTATCCTATGCAAATATTCACAGTTGAAAAGGAAATAATCCCTTTCCAAAGGACCAGCACAAGTCTTTCAATGGCACATAAGCCTGCTTTCGAGGGAGCAGGTGCTTAGCAAGCCCTGAGGATTCAGATTTCAAAACAATCTGTACTCTGCATTGACACATGCAAATACTTAAAAACTAAACTCTTTTTCTCTTATAAATTTGCTATAAATTCTCTATATAATGAATTTAGCTGTAACTTAAGCGGCATGCACAAATCTGTACGAGCAGGACTTTGACCATCTCAGTCTGAAGCTAGACAGTATCAGCTTTAAGTTGGGATAGAACAAAGCTGTAATTGATGATTGGCCAGGTCTCTTTGCCAAGCTGCTCATTTTGATCATTCATAGCAAGACACCCTTATTTTATAAAAACCCTTTTGTTGGTGAAGACAGCAGACAGGTTCTATTCTGTCCTCTGAGAAGGTGGCATGGTGCCAGTGTCAGCAGCCAGCAATCCAAAGCGTTGCGTTTAATCACAAGATTAATTTTTTCCTTTTATTGGCTTTTCCTTTCAATATCACCAAGCATGACATGTTGTAAAACAGTAACACTAGTTGAACAAGGGTTGGCTAGCATCTCGAAGCCCCCTGGCTATGTTGATAGCAGAATGAACATTTGGCTTGATGTGCAGCCAATAGAGACTCCCAGGAAACCAAACCAGGAAAACACAGTTGTCAATGAATGGGCCATGTGCCTGGTAAAGAATTAGGGAAGAGGAAGCAAAATGCACCTGGGTGTAAGAGCTGAACTGGGGCTCATGTTCTTTTTTTTTTTTTTTCCCTACACATTTCAAGCATCCATGGTTTCAATAGCATGTCAAACACCTGAGGTTTCAAGCTGTAGATCCAATCCGTTAATAATGTGTGGGTACATCAGATTGTATTTATTTTAGGCTTAAACTGGCCATATGCAAGTTAGATTCTAAAAGTAGATGGTAGTAGATCCAGATCAAGCTAAAGATTTGTACTTATCCTACTGAACATAGTGACTGCAACTGGTTGTGCTTTGCATTGACTCATATAGGAAAAAATGCGCCCTCCCCTTTTTTTTTTTTCAGAGGGAGCATGCTAGATTCAAAACTTTTTTTATCCTTGGAGTCTGCAGCAGTGACTGGTGAGTATCCCTAGTGTGCTATGCCATCGTGCAGAAATCTGGTCATAGGTAAGAGTGCTTGTGGTGGAGAAAAAGGCAGGCTTAGTCTGTCAGCTCCTGTATCTGCAAATAACCAGATTCATTCATCTTAATTCATGGGACTTCTCTGGTCTTGGAATGAAAGTTTAACAGAGTTTGGTGTGAATGGAAGGTGCAAGAGTGGGTAACTCTCTCCTTGGCAAAGTTGTATATGTGAGCTTCCAGAAGTCTGCATTTTGTGGGTTATTAATGTTTTTAAACTTAAATGAATATACTCCTGTCGTTCTATAGTCTGTATTGTAACCTGTGAATATTATGCTCCTAATGGTCTGTGCTGCCAAAGACAGGTGATAGAACCTTACTGTGCATACAGGAAGATAAGTGTAATGTCCCTTTAAGTTTTCTGCTTGTGGATTTGACCTGTTTTACTGATATGTTCAGTATATCAGTAAATGGTACATGTTTGCATGTACCATTTTCAGACAAAGTTGCATTTTACGAGCTTTTCACAATCAATAGGTAGGGCAAACAATAATCAGCTCATCTACTGTATGAGTAGTATAGATGTTAAAAGTTCAAGGACCATTGGATGGTACAGCCAGAGGCTGGTGCAAGCTTGTCAGGGCTGGGTTCCCTTGAAAGCAAAGGTTTCAGATTGTTGCCCTGACTTGCAGTTGTTCTTAATGCCCATTTTACAGGAGCTGCTTCTGTCAATTCTTTCTTGTGCTAGAGATCCTTCTGCAGTGAAACTGTTCTATGATCAATAATCTTGTGAAAAGATTTCAATAACTCAAAAGTAAAAATCCACAAATGGCTCTTGGGTTCTACAATACCCCTGTTGTATGTCACTTTTTCAACAGACACCACATGGCAGCTCT